AATATAATAATTATATAATTAACGTTATCGCTAATATTTATAGATTGTTTAATTTGTTAAATATTTGAGTTTATCAAAATTATATTTTTTTGAATTCTTAAAAAGATATATATGTCAATTGTTTACAGTTTAATCAGATTTAATAAAAGCAGATTGTATATGATAATTTTTATTTGACAATTGTTCGTTACGCGATACAAATAGAAATCATTCTCCTAATCGAAATCAGTATTGTTACAAGTCATCACATATACAGAAATACACTTTTAATCAGAGTATAGGGCACCTGCCCTAAACCGATTACAAGAAATATACACTATATTACAAAGCGGTCGTATGCTCATCAGAAATACATTAACATCAGATGATGACTCGACCGATTGTGTTTATATGTGTATGTATGCGAAAGTGTAGGAAAATACAGCTATTTCTTATAGTGACATAAAATCAGTAGTAGTATATATAAACAAAATGTTCGAGTCTTCGTCCAATCTTCGACGCGGCTGAAGAAAGCGACTTGTTAAATTTCGTTACGCGGAGGACGATGAAAGTTCTCGTTCGTGTCACACGATAGCTATTTAATCACGCTCGTTTATTCCCTTACATTAAGGTCAACAGAGTTCAATTACCTTCGCGGCAATGCTGTAGGTTTCAACTGGATTCGAGGCTCGATTACTCTCACTCTGATTTATAATACACGGGATTGTGGCAGAGATGAAAGATATATTAGAGACGTTGGGCGTAAGTTTGCTTTCGACACTGTGGACATTTTCAAGTTGAAAACTTGTTATAGACACAACATATACATATGCGAAGAACTTGAAATAATAGCTATATATAATAGACGCAAACTATTTATGTATTTGATAATCTCTTTTGATAAAATATCACAAAATCTAATTGTGTGTAGAGGGATTCAGGATAGCTTATAAAACTTACAAAACTTATAAAACTAATTAACTAGAGACTTACTGCTACTTATTTGATTAATTAATTCTTTACTTCAATAATAATTTGTAACTAAAAAAAAATTTAGTTTAAATATAAGAACAGGGAAAATGAATTCTGTGATAATATACAATTAAAATTTTTGGCATGTTTAAATATAGGTAGAGCGTAACAGTTAAAAAAATGGAGTAATAGTATTCCAGGGAAAATTTATTTACGAAATAAACAAAATCGAACTTGTGAAATGGAATATAGCAACACTGTTTTGTGCTTATTATCACAGAATTGTCAATTACCCAAATAATATATCGGGAACGCGCAGTTCCTTTGTGAGATCGTAGCGCTTCATCGATACAATTTTAATATATACAGTAAGTAAAATAGAAAAAAGGTTTCAGTAGCAAAATCATTTCGAAAAATACGAGTCGCAGAAAAAAAAATAACTGCAACTCGATGATGAGTATATGTTTGTAAAGATTTCGCTTCAAGTTTGCATTGTTTAAATTATCATTACCAATCGAGAGTGAAACATCATACCATTTACTTAATACACCGTTAACATACACTCCGTCGTTTGTATAAGGTAAATATATATCATAGCGTTATTTACAGCGAAAAAAGAGAACTTCGAATACGATAAAAATTCTTGACAGATATGTTTAGTCATTATCGATAATATGAAATCATATGAAATTTTCAGAACTTTTACCTTTAAAAGCTTCTATCATAAGTGCGTGCTTATTTTACGGAAGTGAAGAAATATATTCAGGGGAGATAATGATAAATAATTTTTTTCTTACACTTTATAGCGTTTAATCTCATTAGTTTCCTCGAATCACTCTAAGGATGTGTTGATATCTTAACGATAAATTCATGAGTATTAATGAATCACAGAGCGATTATGAGGCGCATAGTCACAATCAAAATTATAATTAACTAAATTAATGTTTAGTACAATTCTCTTTAGAAGCGTTAAGTTTAACATTAGCGCTTATAAAATAAATATTAGAAGATTATACTCTTTCCGTGTTTCCTAACAAAATTTTTCATTTCGTAATACTTTCGAAACTTATTTTTACATATAAACGCCGTATTTCTAAAAAAAATTTTGATATTTTGATATTGATTTTATAAACTATTAATTTATACTTATTTATATAAGAGACATTCGGTATTTGTCCATATAACTCGCAATGTAATTTGCATTATTTATTACTTATCAACTAAAACACATACAAAATGCTTCATTAACCGCTTATCTTTTTTGAATAATAGATTTCCTGAGAAATTCGAGAATAATTTTTCAAAAATAATAAAGTAATTGGAATCTCTCATTTAAATCAATACAATTTTAGAGACGTAAATATTGTTACAGTATTATAATTATTTTATATTTAATTCCATAATTCCATTTTTCCTGAAAAGTAATTTACTAGAAATTAATTTTAATCTTTGTATGTATTCAAAGAATACCACCATATGTTCACAATTCATTAGAAATTGAATATGTTCTGTTATAATTGATCTAATCATATTGATGTATTTTTAGATTCGTGTCTTTTTAAAAATGAAAGATATAATATACAAAAACATTACAAAAGATCATTGCTACAAATGTATTTGAAAAGCAAAATGATTGCCCAACGAAGTGTAAGATGCAAATGTGATTTATTAAAGGTTCCTAAAGATTATTAACGTGCATAGTGTTACCAACGATCAATTTCATGAAATATCTTTAGTATATCACTTGGCACGGCCTCTGATAATATTGAGAAATTAAATGATTATTGAATGCATCTACTTTTATCTTCACTATTTATATATATATATATATGTGTGTGTGTGTGTGTGTGTGTGTGTGTGTGTGTGTACACACACATACACAAAAATGAGATTCCAATTGTAATAGGAACTGAGATATTACGCTCCAGTGATTGCGTTTGTTGCGTGTGTAGAAAAAACAAAGCGCTACTTCTTTACGACCATTACAAAAATCTAAAGCTTGTAGCATATCTCTGCATGATTATAAACGTACTTACGAGAAACTAGCGATAAATATGCACTGACTATTCATTTTTTCCTTTTTTCAATAATAGTATACGAGTAATCTTAACAAAAAGTTGTCATATCAAAACATGCTACAATTACAATGTTCATGTGTAAAAATGTGCAAAACTGATATCATTTAACTGCGGGTGCTATCTAGAGTCATACTGACACTATCGGCCTTTTACAGCGAAATTCTAAGAGACACATTGCGATAACGCACCATCTGCGCTCTCTCTTATTACAATAAATCTTACTTTATTTATCGATTTAATATCAAGAGATATTCTGCGCAGATATTACAGTCTGAGAATATAGTCATTCCTTACTAGTCTATTCACGCACGTAAGCAACTTCATCTCAATCTTATGACCATGGAACTTTCTTAACAAAAAACACGCACAAGATTTGTTTAAATAGTTATAAAACACTAGTAAAAATTTTATCGCAATAATTTCTAGCAATACTTTAAATAAAACATATTAAATTTTATTGGGCGCTTTCGATAAAAAGATTATTATTCGAACTAAAAAATAATCTATAAAATTCAACCTATCTCTGTTAATTCACACAATTATATATTTTAAAATAATCACATCAGAAATGTAATTTTTAATAATCCAAAGTATTAATATTTAGCATTTATGGTTAAAAATTAAATAACAATTTAAAAAATATTATAGATAAAAGTTTTTATGTTCTCCTTTTATGAAAATCCTGTCGTATATCACAAGTAATCCATGTTTCAAACAATATCAAACAATATTTGTTTTAAATAAGAGATGAATGGAGAAATTTCAGTCATAAAACTTGACAGAAACTTTTTAAACGTTTACCTTATAAATTCGTGTGAGATATTTAGATACTGATCTTACCTTTGAATGCACACTGGTTCGAATGCAATCGTTTACACATCCTTATGTAATACGATTATGACTGTTTTAACCGTCAGTGTCTCGATTTGCTATTATTAATCTATCGTATACTACATACAAACATAGGAACAATTATCCTACGTTTGTGCAGTTATAATAATGCCAAACAGATTGGCTTGTAAATATTAGCTGAATTTATCATTTCAAAATCTATACAAGATGAATTAATCTCTTACAAGGTGAATATGTATTAACATATACATGTACAATTTTCATTGTTAAGATTTACCAATAAGACACAACTGTACAATATCTTTGCAATAATCCAAAATTATATATGTTTATTTAATAAACTTACGATTATAATATCTCAAAGTTCGTTTGACATAAATGTACCTTATAGTCTAATTTCAACTTATTAGATAAAATAGGATTATCATAAAGCGAATAAAAGATCGCGACTAGAATTAATATATTCGACTAGATTCTCACCTTGCAAAAGTTTCTATAAAAGAAGATTTAAAAGTCTTCACAAGTAATCTCATACGATATGAATAATAATATTTAATTTGCGCTTAACAATAAATGCTGTTTGTATGTAGGATACTTCTAACTATTATTTACTATGATTGTACTCTATTACTAAACAATATTAAAAGGCCGTTACATATTTCATCGCTTTAAAAGTAACCGGTGCCACATTTTGGAAGCGCTAGATATTTTTATTCTTTTCACGTGTCTTCTCATTCGGAATTATTGGTCGAATATCGTAGTTAATACTGCGAGACAATGTAAAAGTAAAGATAAAAATGATATCTATTTCTTAAATATCACTGGAAGCAAATTGTATCAATCTCAAGAGGGTAACATAATGTAATATTGTAAATAACATAAAACTGAGAGAATCGTGAAATTATGTATCACGTGGTATGCCAAACTTTCGTCTCTTAAAAACAACAATTTGTAGCACTTCCATGCAGAGGCAATAGGTACTTTAATATGACGATGAGAATGATGAGTTATCCTATAAGGTTAATCTATTTTTACGGCAGGTAAACCGTGACCTACGATCAGTTGTTCTTCTGGAAAGTCCGAAACCACAGTGATGTGAAAGCCCATATTTGCAAAAGCTATCACGTACTCACATAGCGAAAACCAACTAAATGCTGTTCAAAATAATAAATATTGTTTATATTTTGTTTATATTTTTACTTTAAACTGTGATAAATATAACATTTGTAACCATATTTCTTACCCAAATCATGACACAGCAGTCGATGTTTTAAGAAGAAAATAATAAGAAAGATTGTACTGACGAGACTCGTCATAAAAAGCACTTGTTTGTACTGAAGACTTTGTGCATTTGGAGTTATTAAACGACCCAACCTCACAGCAGTCAACATGTATGTGAGCGAGCTAATCATGAACACTATGAAAATTTTTTCGTGCACCGCTGAAATATTTGTATGTCATTTGAAAGTGCATTCGAAAAAATGGTATTAGTGCTATTTATGTCATTTTATCCTTGTTTTATGTCTAATGAATACAATAAATATAGAATAACACAAACAACGTCAATAACATCAAATGTTCTATCCTTCAATAATACATTAATAGCAGATATATGAAATTATGAGTTACTTACAATAATTTTCTCTGTTAGAAATATATGTTACACCAGACAAAGCTGCTATCTCGGCAATGTTTAGCCAGTAGCATAGGTTTAGGAGCCTGCTCCCTGTAATTTGTAGAGGCACATCTTCAATGTTCTTAAGTATCTTGTAATAATATGAATGATAAACACTGGCGATAACCAGCCTAGGACCAATATGTAATGCTATACTGATACGCCATAAATATCTTTGCGGAGATACTCCAGTAATGGCTGAGATCGATGGAAGAATATTATAGACCTAAACAAACAAAGAGATATTATTTGTCTCGCTTATTGTAACAACGATTTAATATAAAACTTTTGCTTACCCTACAATGAGTTTCGTGAATATCGTCCTGTTGAAATATATATGCTGTGATGAAGCAGAACAACAGCGACACAAGTGGTAAGCCAACTGTCGCCAGGCACAGCCTACGAAACGACAGTGCAAGGTATACGGAACTTTTGTTGCTCACAACATTATTCAGTTCCATATTGACAGCACTGCTTAACATCCTGACATTTGTGCGTGAAGCTACGAAGACACGATAACGAAGAGTAGATCCCAGTCAGATAATTGTGCGATATAGATTCATGTTGCTCTCCAACCTTGCATCTCCATTCAATGATCCATCACTCCGCATGCCACGACATCCCTGAAACAAAGAAGATAGCAGATTATCATATGTTGACGCCCTTGAGTCATTCGTTCGATGAGATCACACTGTGATCCGAGGTTGCCAGAGAAACTGAGAGGAACTTGGTACCCATATCGAGCGAAAATACCAGATCTAATTACGAGCGAAGGACAACGCGCTCGTTCTGCGAACACTTGCAAATTGCGAAGTCCCTCCCTTGATAAAGATAAATCCGCGTAACGAGCGCGTTGATAGCTACGCACCGCCAATGGTTTATCGCGCGAATTGCTTGATAACACCGTGGGATCTGCATCGCGCGAATCGAGAAAAACAACACTCCGGAAACATCTCGCTCTTGTCTCGGGAGTACCTCCAAGAAGCAATTAAATCATGTTATACATGAGATGTTTTCCAACAAGAGACACAGAAGACGTGGTATAACACAGTGAATCATAATATCTTTGTTGTCTGCCAATGTTAAACAAAGATGAAATGATTATTGTGTTGTACTGTCTCTTGTTGGAAAGCATCAGTAACGTTGTGTTGCAACGTCAATTCGCGTTAATTCCCGCGTTACTTATCGCAACTGTATCATTCCGGCACCGCTCATCTCGCGTCTCACCTGTGCGATTGATTTTAGAAATAACCTGCCAGCTCTATAAATAGCGGGCGAAAGGGCAAAATCGCGGCTGGACCACCATGCTCCTAGCGTTGTTCGCTTTGTCCGAATTCCCGAAGACTGCGGCGGAGCTCGATAGCGGAGAATCAAATCAAAATGTCAACGTGCGTGATGATTCTAAACGAATGCGCAATGCCGAAGTACTGCGGAGTGCGGATCGACTGACACCTCGCTTTGTCTTGCGACGAATCGGATTCTCTTTCTCGCAGTTCAATCACGAATAATCGATGGTAGACGAACTCGCCGAGGAAGGTTTCTCCGATTCTCGGAGAAGATCCTCGGCGACGAACAATTAGTTAGAGATTCGCCTCCTCTCCCTCAACTCGTCACGATTAATCGTATCGTCTGCTATGCTGCTACGGATGTTCCGATTCCCCTCCCAAAGATGTACTTTCTGTAGTCTACGCGCCTGTGAGCGGAACTTTTGAACGTACCGCATTTGATTTGAAGAACACGATTGTATTTGCAAACACAAACATAAAATATAAACATTACTGGACTGGTTAAATTTTCAAAACTATAGAATTACCAAAGTATTAAAATTGAATGGTTTGTAATGTTTTATTAAATTTATAAGTGCATTTTCTGAGATTTCTTGCATAATATATGTAAATAATTTTTAATTTCTTTCTTTTTCAAATATATATATATAATGTTAATTACCAGTAGTTTTTATCTTTTTTAGTGCCATAAATCATACATATATTTGATCATTTATATTATTTAAAAATTTATTGACTTTTTATCTGTTTTGCAATGATCTTGTAATTTTACAAGAGAAGTTTCAAAGATATTATTTACAAAATAGATACATAATACGAGATTCTCACATATCGGTCCATGAAAAACTTCGAGTTTCACAATTATACGTCTCGAGAAAAATGTTAAAGGTGAGATAATATACTCCTAAAGTATCCTGTTCATCTTTTTTTTATTTTTAATCTAAGTTAAAACGCATCTAGATATATGAACAGTTTAAATATTATCAAATGGAATATCATGATTATTTTGTCAACCGAAATATTGGATAATAACTTATACAGCATTTTGTGATTTTGTTATAAAGACCATTATATTTATATAATACAAATTTACTTTTATACACGCGCCCGTTTATTCTGTTGACTCTCCTCTTCCACTTCATACTCAATTTCGACTCTCGCTCGAGGTTTCTTTTGCACCTTTCCTTTTTTGACAACTTTCGGTCCTTTTGTCTTCTTGCTTGTGGACGGTGTAACTAAATCCTAATAAAATACGAACAATTTATATCACGACTTGTAGTGCAACAAGCCTTATTTTGACCTTGAAAATTCTTACCTCGATATCACTAGCTTCGGATTCAAAGCTATCGGATAATTCAACTTCTTCTTTCTGTCCAGAGTCACTATCTTCATCCTATTACAGCATTTATAATATATTTATAAAAAAATATTAAAATAATTATATTTTAGTGACTAATCGTTTCATCACTTACCATAGAAAGCTCTTCAATGTCATCATCATCGTCCCCATAGTCATCATCGTCACTATCAGCTTCAACATATTCTGGACCATATTGTTCAGTTTCTCTGTCGTCTGTTTCTAATTCCATTTCCAACTCCTTCTCAAGTTCTTTCTCTTGCTCTTCTTCATGCTCGCTTTCTGCTTCACTTTCTCTTTCAACTTCAACAGCCCCCACAGCCTTATCAAACACTCGTTGTGGGAAATTGTAAATACCTTCATACTGAAATATGAAAAGAAAATAACATTTCTGAAATATAACTTAATTTTTGTATATAATTTTATAATGAATATAAAAATTCAATTACCATTCCCTTCTTTAACCTCTCCATAAGCTGTTTTTCAATTGCATTTTCTAGTTTTGCAGCAATCAAAGCCTTTTCTTCCCTACGCCTCTCTCTTCTTTCAATTTTCCTCTGAAGCGGTACAATTTTCTTCTGTCGTCTTAATCTAAATTTTCTCATACGAATAAGATACTGTGTGATCTTGAGAAATCTTTGCTTACATTTAGCCTTTATAAAACCAGGCCAGTAAAGAAGATTTTCATTAATTTGATGTATGGCTTTTTCAAAATTCCTAGACAGTTTGACTTTCTCCCAGCTATTTTTAGGTGTATGTATTCTAAATAAAAGAAACTGAATTAACATACAAACTAATACATATTAATATACATGTAAAAATATTACACATATGTATATACGAAGATGTACATATAATAAATATACATATAAAAATACAAATTTATTTTATGGATGCTTACAATTATGCTTGAATTAAAACTAATCTTTGTTTCTTTACTAATGTTCATAAAATTTATAATTTTAAGTGTTATAAAAAATGCTATAGATTAGTAACTACTGTAACTACAATTCATGTTTAACCTACCTTTCTGCAGTTCTCATGTAAAGATAAATAATACCATTTTCTTCTCTAATCGTAGCATATTGACTGTTTGCAAGAGGGCACGCAGCTCTACTGCATAAACCAGTAAGATTAAATTCATTTCTACAGAACCGCTGTGTCTTCGTACTGCAAAAAAGAGATGTTAAAATTACAATGACTGTTACAATTTGGTTGTGTTCGCTTTGATGCTTACAGCACTTGTGAACATTATTTTATCCTTGTTTAATATTTAATAAACAAAAATGAAACGACACTTAAAGTGTTGTGAGCGACAAAGCGAACACAGCCTTTGTTGCACATTTAAGGATGTACTTACTTTACTTTGAAAGAACAGAATGATTTATTGATAACACTCCACACAACCTGTAAAATTGTTTGTTATAAATAAAATCGCAATAATAATTAAAAATAGTTAAATTAAACTGTACTCTAAAGCTTTTACTTACGTCGTCGTGCTGCATTTTGGTTTATTATGATTCAATTACGAGAACAAATATTATCGCAATTATAAATAATCTTTATGTCACGAACACATTATTTGATAACGACACGTGCTAAAAAATAAGGGGGTTTTTATATTGTACAGACGATGGATTGTGTTTTTAACAACTTCACCACGAGGTTACCAGACATCAGAGGTTATGTGACGCCATAGATAAAAAGACTTGAGAGTGGCTATGTCGGTCTTTTTACGTAATATACCAGCGCATCCATTTTTGCGATCTGAAAACTAGATACCGCCAGAGAGAAAAAGGTTTCTCTCTGCCTATACCACCGACGAGATACTGTTACCGACGAGACACTATTAAAAACCGACATCCTTACGTGAGTTGACATCCTTGGGAATATTGAAGTAATTTTAAGAGTTAAAAATTAATAATATTGTACTAATTTTATGATTTATTAGTTTAATAGACGTACTTAGAATTCAATAATACTCGATTTTTCTTTAAAATTGTGATTTCAGTGTTATCGTTAAAGTTTGATTATCAATAGAGAGATAACTGCAAAGAAAAAATTGTAATTTTTCTGCAACATATAGGATATTATAGCTTTACAAGTGTGCATATTTATTTATGGAACATTTATGTAATACTGTAAATTTGATTGATTTTATATAGAAATAACATAAATATTAAAATAAAAAAAAGGGAAAAAGAAAGTGCTGGCAAAGAATCTAATCAGAGAAGAAGATCCAGCATCAGTAATATTTTAAATAGATTTGGTATGTCCGTTACTAATAAAAGCCATTGACGAGATACTACTGTTAAATAAAGACCGTCAATCCTGGGTAATTTTTCAAATTTTGGTTCCTTGAGGTCTTTATATGAAAGATCTCAAAGACCCGGAGATAATTAATGAACGCTGACATTATCGACAATTGATATAAAATTGTGATTATTAACATAAATATTTGGATAATATTACGTTATTAAATTCGTGATTTTTTATTATATAAATGCTCCATAAGTAAGTATGTATATTGTAATGCTATAATATAGTATATATTGTCGTAAAATTACAATTTTTTTCTCTACAATTATTATCTTTATAGTCTATATTGATAATCTTACTCAGATGGCGACATTAAAATTACAGTTTTAAATAAAACTTCAGTAATATTGAGTTTTAAACATATACATGTTTGCAAAACTAAAAAATCAAAAAATTAATACTATATTATCACTTTCTTACTTTTAATAACTTAAAGTATTTTAATAGGGATACGACACCCGTAAGAATATCGATCTTTAATAGTATCATATAGATGTATACGTTCAAGTAGAGATAGCAGCACAGTATATAAAGTCACTACATTGATAAACACCGCAAACTCTCCACCATTTTGATGCCAAACGCGACCATTCCAAACTTATAATTATGCATTTATAATTATAAACATATATTTTGTGAGGGAAAAGCAGTAAAATATGTAAATTTTTTAAATTTATAATCAGTTTATTTATGTATAAGAAAATACGTACAAATGGTTAATTCATGTAAATATTTTTTAATTTAACGGGTTTATTTTTCATCAAAAATTTTAGTGCATAAAAGTGAAGTACAGTTTTGAAGATGAAAATACACATCAACACATATAACTACCGAAAGAGAAAATAAATTTTATAAGAGATAAATGTTTAGTTTGATAAAAAATACATAAAAAATTTTGATAGTTGCAAGTAAAGTATCGATAAAATAATGCATTATATCCGCCAATTTGGCATTAAATATTTAAAAAGATAAATATGTTATTATTGCGGTATTTTATCATCTCGTGATTTTACAGTATAGAAATAAGGTACTTTTTCATGTTTACGCTTTTGACATTCATTTTTAACTCAAAACATATCAAAAACATATCACGTGATCATATTTGACGTTGATATTCATCAGTTTTGACCACTTGATTTATTTTGACTCTAAAAATAACAATATTAATTTAAAAAAATTAATTGTTTTATCTTATCTATCAATTATATATTATTATACAAATAAAAGAAGTAGTTACAGATTAACATTATTTTTTACATTTTCTCAGTTTTACATTTATCGAAGAATTTCCTTTAAAATATTCTTGATTATTTTATGTACTGTTTCGACGATTCAAATATGCATTAGCTCAGAAGAGCTATATTAAGTATTGATTAAAAGTATTTAATATTTTAAGAATGTGTTAGAGATAGTTGCTTTTGCCTACAAATCGATTGCCTACAGTATCGTTTGCCTACATTACGTTTGCACACAAAAATTATTGCCTATAGTTCGATTGTCTACATGCACTTTTGCGCACAAATAAAAATTTTAGAAATGGAGTTACTTTTGCCTACATTATTATTGCCTACAGCTCGATTGCCTACAAGCACTTTTGCGCACTGATATAAAATTAAAGTAAAGTAAGAAAATAATTGATATTTTTAAAAAATCTGTTATGTGAACAGTGGGGTGTCAGCGTAGACAGTATCCGCTTGGAATATTTTTCCAAAAAGATCTAACCC